TTATCTGGTGTTTCATCGTATTCCTCTTTGACTCCGATCTTCGATTGCACGGTTCCTCCGATCTGGCGATCTTTGACTCCGATCTTCGATTGCACAATTCCACCAATCTGGCGATTTTTGACTCCGATTTTCGATTGAATGGTTCGGTCGATCTGGCGATCTCTGCCGTCCTATCCCATCGATCTCGTCGTGGACCGTTCTGGTGTGGTCAATCTCGTGATCGTGTTCCTCGGCTTTTGATCGGGATATCTGTCGACGAGGAAGTAGGGTTTGGCTTTCGCCTTTAGATTTTCATCCAGCAGACCGCTCTTTGCAGAGCGATCTGCGGTGGCCCCCGAAAGGACCTTAAGAAGAAATTGAGATTTATCTTCCAGATCGATCTCTCGATCTTCCTCTTTTAGTTTCATTTCATCAGAGCCCCTCCCAAAACTCTGATGATCCGAGGATCTTGTGTTTCTGCGTGTATGCGTCGATCCCTCTGTCACTGACACTTCAATCCCAGGTTCTTGCTTGATCTTGACATCTTCGCCAGTGGACTCACGGTGAAATCCAGAGGCCTCAGAAGATCCGGGCACGCGCACCATTGTGGTGAAGTCGATCTCACAAAATCGATTGTGTGAGTGTCGAACTTCCCTTTGCCCAGACTTGCCGACTCACGGAGGGGGTACTCCGATCCGTGTCTTGTTGTATAGCCTCGTGCTCACTTTGTGTACCCGTCGGTTGGGCTGGTTTGAGCTAATGGCCTTGGGAGATGCCGATCTCGCGGAGGGTTTGGGGTTGAGAGTTCGCTTCCGGTGCGGAAATCTTCACACCACGAACGGGGTTCTGCGATCTTGGTCTTGAGTCGCGGCGATCTCTAGTTAAAGACGTCGCGATCTCGATCTTGAATCACACCGATCTCGATTTGTCTTCGGGGTCGGGGTCTTTGCTGCGCGGAAATCTTCACTCAGTAAGTAGTAGTCTTGCGTCGATCTTGCCTTGGGATCGGTCCGATCTCGTCTTGGGATCGGACGATGTTGTCGAAAGTGCGCAGTGTAACAGATAGGTCTTGCGCTTCGCCATAATGAAACGGGCCGATCTGCCGTGTGGATCGCTTCGATCTTGCTGGGTCTTGTCTTGGACTCCTCGTCCAGATCTTCTACCACTTGAGCCATCTCGCGATCTTGTGTCCAAAATCCTTTTCCTTTTCCTTTACCGTTGTTTGCTGCTACCTTACCAGTTTGAGTTGAGTTGAGTTACTTTAACCCCACCTTGGCCAAAAAATACAAGGTGAGTACACGAAACACAGCACGGCAAAGTCTCTTGATAGACGGAAGGCCAAATATCCTGCCCGGAAGAAAAGTCTGCGACGTGCTTTATTTGTACAAACGGTAATTGTTTATTATCTAACTAAATAATAATCATCCTATCCTTAAGCCTATTCCAAACTGTAGGTCAATCTCCAAACCGACGTCTCCTCTAGGCTTGATCGCCTCCTTGAACACGTGTCGAAATTTCGTGACCTGTACTCCAAATACAGCGCCAATATTCTTGATATCGTGCCTATACACCAAAAAGGGACCAAATACCAAATACGCTACCAAATACCCATTGTTGGTACCGAAAAGTTTAAAATAGTATCCAAATGCCGAATGTGTCTAAATCCATTTTGCGACGTCAATTCAACCAGCTTACACTGGCTTTTTCTATCTGAACTTTCGGGGAATCACTTATGGACCTTCATCAAGCATGTTTATCACGATCCAATCGCTACATCACCGATATATCCATATTCATTAGGGAACATGACCAATCTGGTGCCCAAATTCGAGATCGTTGAGATCGACACGGTACAATTACACAGTAGATGTTCTTCTGTTCATTGTACGTGCTCCAATATCACCCTTCATGGTTTGTCTGGTCCACAAGATTTTCCACATAGCTCCCTGGATCTCCACGAGTATCCACGTTTCCTGATCGGGCTATAATTAACCTAAATCAGTGTTTCCATTGTGAGATCGGTAAAGAGTATCACCGATCTGCAGGATGTTACGCCTTCGTTTCAGAGTCATATCGCATCGCATCACCTGGTCTTAGATCCTTGTCTTATATCGCTCCATGTAAATCTTTCTATTTGTCATCTTGTCCCAGATCGCTCTATCCCCGGTCGTTCCATATCCATTAGTTTGGAGACAGCTGGATCGGATCGCCGATCCCCATTAAGATCGCTTTCCATCTCCTTATTGGATCGCTAGGTCCCTTGGCATCGTTTTCCACCAGTAAGTGACGCCTTAATTAGGTGGTCACCGATCCAGGTTCCAAAATTTGATTAGTGACTTTACCACACTTCCATGCGGCGGAGACGCTTGGCCTAGATGGCATGAAGTGTCGTTGATACGACAAAACGCCACAGCTCTCGAGCTGAAAAAGAGACCGCAGCCTGAGTTTTCAATAAATCAGCGCCTATGTTCAGCGAGTGCCTGACAACAACTCAGGCGTTGGGCGGAATCCCCAGTAGGTCCAGTCCAAACACCCAGACAGGCAAGTCATCCTCCTGGAAAGTACCAAGCTATCACCACCGATCAAGAAAGTATTTTCTGTGTCGACGCGCGCTAGGGCATGTCTAAAAGATATGGCTTGACAGAGCTAGACCAACATCCACACACCCAGGGACGGGGCACGACAGATCTTTCTTCGCCCAATTATAGAGCGGGAAACTATTGCTCTTTAGCCGATATATCGTCTGAGCGTTGGTCGGAAAGGACGCACGAATTTGTCGAATGTTTTTCCACGTGGCCAATGGTGAACCTTCCGATATCACATAAAAGTCCGCCTTTGCAACCCGTTCCTCGGGAAGTCTAGTTCCTTCCATATAGCGCCTCCGGGAGTTAAGCTGTTTGAGTTTCATTCGATGTGGCCACCACCGTCGACGACCGGCCCACAGGTGGACAACCCGCGTGAGCATCGAATGCGCGCAAAAGTAGATAGGAGTCCCACTGGATGAGGACGCGGCGATATCGCACGCCGTCATCGACGAGACGGATTGCAACCCACATTCCATACACGTATCGAAATGCAGGAGAGATATACCTTCACTAGTTAGAAGCCAGTCATGGAATTGGTGCACCTTCGTTGAGTACAAAAGTAGAGACCCAGGTTCCAGCGCCCAAGAGACCAGAGACGGGAAATTGTAAAGAAGCGCGAGGCAGAAGGACCCGAAATGCCGTACCTTCGCCATAGACTGGGTCGCCATGTCACGCGTGGGAGAGAACAAGACAATGCCAGTTTGCAAAGTCGTCCAAGACATTGCCTCGCCAAGGTAAGTCGAACCCATGGCAAAGGCGGATCCGTTCAATGTGTAAGCCGTACCCCGTCGATCTCGCAGCCACGACGTACCCTTGAGCAGTATCAATTTGATATAAGATGACTCCCGATCATAACTTCATGTAATGGTGTCTCACTCTTCAACTTGCGCTACAATAATACACTGCTATAGTAAGCATTCATTAATGCTACAGCATTAACATTAAGCCTTTCATTTGTTTACGCTATGCTTCGATGCTTACTCTGATCCTTGTTTCAGTTCTCCGGACTGGATACAGATACCAAAGGGCGAGATCCAGAGATCGTATTTCGATCTCTTAACCGAATTACACTACTACCACATCTTTTATTCATCATCTTGAAGCTTGTCTTTCGAACACATCGTCCAGTGAGAAGAGACGAAGCCGTTTCGTCCCCCGCTTTGATGCTATTAGCGGCTGGCCACCTGTTATAGCGAACGCCAGCCTCGAACTACACGGAAGTCATAGCTTAACTTCTATGGGGAGGCACCCGACAGTAGTTTGCAACAAATGGCATGCCAACATTCGTACACTTGTTCGCAGCAACGAGCGCGCGAAGCAACAGCCGGTAACAATATCGCCGTTCGATCTACTACCAGGCTCACAGCGTGATAGATACGCAACGCTACAAACACGTGCGATTTCGGTAATGACTGTGTATCGGCGGGGTTTCGCTTGTCCTCCGCTGAGAATCAAAGCGCTTGGTACAATCTCTGACCGCCTTTTTTCATTGTACGACCCGGATCCCGAACTATACGAACCACGAAGTTCAGTACGACTGCGAGTCTATATCACAAAGCTTTGCATCTTGACGACAATCTGCTGTCGAGACGGATCAGCATACACCGCAGTTCCAGCTGGCGTTCACAGCTTTACTGCAGACCGTGCTTATTAGCTGCGTTGAAAACGTGTGCACGTTGAACAGTAGGAAGTGCTGGCAAGAGTGCATCCTCCCTCCGTAGTAATTTATAACGTACACAACATGCCAATCGCGACGGACGATTCCGTTTCATCAAGAAGAAATCGTTGGCAAAACCTAGCAGTACCGGTTCAAATAACGATCCTAACCGGTTCTGCTCCATAGATTACTAAAAGACGAGGCCATTTCATCGACGACAAAGTGCATGTTCTGCAATCGTTAGGCACCGTCTACTAATCTGCTTGGTCGGACATCGGTCACTGCAACTTGTCAAGTTCAAGCGAAACGAAACGTATCCAGAACTCACCAAATCTTCGTCACGGATCTTCTCCACATGCACGATAACTTTTTCTCAGGCCTACATTTGAACAATACACTCGTTATCATGATATCCTTGCGTGGGAGTTTCACTTAACTTGACGGCTTGTCTATGATCGTGCTTAAGCGATCTTACACACACATGTAACTTGCACATGTCGTTGTGAAGACTAATCTTTTTGCCCGTCAGAGCAACGAGGTTTGTCTTCACAATGGCCTATGCAGATGTGCTCGAAGAAATGACCTCTTTCTGATGTTAGCACAGCCGTCATATTGATGTCAGAAGCAATTATGCCTTCACAGTACACATACGCGTGAAATCAGGATCACCGCAACGTACGTTTCATGTTGTGTTTTGGTCCTTTCTACCGTATGTCAAAGCTGCCAGAAAAGCACGCGTTGTAATCACAACTTGTTCTGCACGACACTTTGATTAGATCCTAGCGGCCGATCGTCGACGTCCATTGTGGAGCATTCTCGAATCCGTTCGCGCCGCTTTGGTAGTCGCGAATGGTCTGTTGAATCTCGGCCTCTGAAGTCATGACAAAAGGACCGTGCTGCACCACCGGCTCGTTCAAAGGTTGGCCACTGATCACAATAAACTCGAGACCGGTCTTGTCGTCTGATGTCACATGCACGCCGTCGCCATCTCGTTCTAGGACAATCGCGTGGTGGGCCTCAATGCTATCACCTGCACACCTGCCCGCACCACTTAGGGTGTACATGAACGCGTTATGACGCGTAGGGATCTTGTACTCGAGCTCTGCCCCTTGTTTCATCAGAAAGTGAATGTACGTCACAGGTGCTTCCGTCTCGATTGGGCCTTTCTGTCCGAACACTTCCCCTGCGAATACGATTGCCTCAACCTGCTTGGTGTCATCCCACACGTGAGGTACGGAATCTCTACCAATTTCCTGGTAACGTGGCTCCATGGTCTTTTTAGCCTTTGGCAGATTGATCCACAACTGCAGACCATGGGCTCTCGATTCGCTTGCCGGCATCTCAGCATGCAAAATGCCTTTCCCCGGAGTCATCCACTGCAGGTCTCCCGGTCGAAGCTCGCCCTTGTTGCCTAGAAAATCTTCGTGGCGCATATGGCCACAGGACGTTGGCAACATGTATGTGACAGTCTCGAACCCTCGGTGAGGGTGGTCAGGAAAGCCTCCAGGTAGACCAACGTTGAATTCGTCCAGCAGGAGGAACGGATCCAGAGTAGGAAGGTTCTGTGAGCCCAAAGAGCGCCGCACGGTGGCTCCAGCACCTTCTGCCTGTTTCTGAGCGACAAACTTGGAAGTCACGCGTCTCGCCTTGAACATGCTGGTCGGGGCTGTAGGTGTTGTTGCGGAAAAGCGTTTGCGTGAAAGAAAACAAAGGACAGCAGTCTTGTTAGCTACGCACCCACAAATGCTAAAATGTATGTGCAAGACATGAAGCGTGAATACATACAGAGTGCGTCTTCGAGAAGAAGTCGCTAAGAAACAATGTCTACCACACGATGGATCTTAGCGGGTAAAGAACGAGCAAAAGATGCTCCACTTGATGGAAAGGCCGCGCGAATTCGCAAATGGCTTGCGAACAGTCGGGCGGTTGTTCTCGCTGCTGTAACGCTTCAATAACAATGCCACAGCTTTGGATCCAACGTGCAGGATCTGGTGATTGCGTGCGCCGCGTTTGTCTCGTCTTTTACACTTTGTTACATCCTGCTCATGTTCTTGCCACAGCACATTCGATGCTGCCGATTCGCCGTCGTCAGTGCACAGCCGACAATTCATTCCACGTCCAACTATGACAACACGTTGTGACTCGAGCACCTTTTGGCCTCAAGTTCATCGTTTATAAACACCGTTCCGTGCTATTGCATGGTGTAAAAAAGGCTCGCGTGCCAAACGGAACGATGAGAAAAAGCAATTGAGCAGTAGCGTAGCTGTCGTTGGACACAACTGTCGCTTCTTGGAGTGTGCCTGTGTCTCTTTAGTCAAAGGCTGACGACGTTCATGAGCACGTGGCGTCAGTGACGAGTGGAAGAGAACATGGAGGCAGCAGCAAGAAAGCGCTGACGTGCAAGTGCTGCAACTATATAGAGTGAGATCAGGATTGTACACGCTTACGGGCATGCTTCCTCCCACTAAGTCTTGATCGCAGGCGATCGTATTGGTCTAAATATAAACCAGCGCAGACAAGAGGCCTCGACTTGCGCGGACGGAAAAGTCGGCTTTGCTAACGAACCGGCCACTCTTCTTTTGTCAGACGTCGTCTGTCTCAATATCATGAGCACGGGGTGAGCACGGGTCCGGCGGAAGCTCCAAGTCTCGGTACACTCATCATGACTGTGCGCCAAATGCTTTCGTAGATACCATTTTACAGATCGGATTTCACAATTTCATGCTGCGCCCGAAAACCCCAGATAAAACCTGTCCCCGCGGATACTTAGTGGTGGCTAGAATGTGTGGTAGGCTTGCAAGCTGAAACGTCGACCGTGTCTCCAGTAAGTATCCCGTCTCATTCGTTGGTATCAACTAACAAAGCAACATGGCGAAGAGAGGATTCTACGCGGTGGCAATTGGACGGTCCACCGGCGTCTTCACGACGTGGGACAAGTGCAAGATGCAAGTGGAAGGCTTTGCTGGATGCAGATACAAGAAATTCAGCACGGGTGCTGAAGCGCAAGCGTTCGTAAACGGCTTCAGCAATGACTCTCGAGATGACGTTCGAGCGCAGCCAAAGTCTCAGTCATCAAAACGACTGGACGACAAAAGTATACTCACCGACAAGTGCGCCCCGTCTCCTGCTCAGAAACGCAAGCACGATCGAGAAGAATCTTATTCTGGCAAGTCCGGCACCGAAACGTCGGTGAAGTTTGTGCGCAAGATGCCGGCGAGATGTGCCGATCGTCTGAGCGGTAGTGCATTTGACTCGAAGCAATCAGGTTTGGGCGCTTTGACCGCAGAATCGACTTGCGGGGCGTCCGCGCTGCAAGGTGGTATGCAGTACTTGTGCACTGATGGTAACAACGATAGTGGAGCTGCTTCTGCCGATGCTGTTCATGGGGACACAATGGTGAGCGATACTCATTCTTCTTCTGCCTCCACTGAATGGAAATCGTGCGATGCGACAAAAGACCGGGAGCTGGAGGTCTTTTCCACATGGAAAGAAGTTACGAAACATGGGAACCACTTGTCCAGCTCGGGCTTTGAAACGCTTCGAACGACGGCGCTGCCAGAAGCTTTTGCGACACAGCACGCGGTAGCTGCTGAAAACAAAGACCGATTTCTGGACCCGCGGAATACAAACACTTTGGTGGCATTTTGTGATGGAAGTGCTCTTGGGAATGGACGGCGGGGATGTCGTGCAGGCTACGCCTGCATTTTCCCGCACTGCGAGGAGTGGAACGTAACCAAACAACTGGTGGGAGACAAAGTTACGAATAACCGGGCGGAGTATATGGCTGCACTTGAAGCCATGAAGCGTGCGAATGTGGAAGATTCCAGTGGATCCCGAGTACTATACATCTTCTCGGACAGTATGCTATTAATTCGATCAATGACGGAATGGGTTGACGGGTGGCAGAAAAACAACTGGAAAAAGTCAGACGGCAAACCAGTGCAGAACCGCGATCTGCTGGAGCTACTGGTGGCAGAAAAGGGCGACCGTCGCGTTTGCTGGACCCATGTGAAGGCTCATACCGGAAAGAAGGACTGGGAATCCAAGTGGAATGATGTAGCTGACAACGCGGCACGGAATGCTGCAGTGAGTATTGGTGAAGTATGAGTCGACAAGTGATGTGCGTCCCGCCAACAAAACGAGCGCACCTTCCTCTGTCTCCAAATGATGTCGGCCGATAGCATGGAACGTAAGCTAAGCGACGTAAATGCAAGTAATTGCATGACCATAAATATATGCAACAAACGCTACTGGCTTTTCGGACTTTTAGGGTGAGATCTGAATGCATAGCGGTCGGCAATATTGGGGCTATTACATTGCCGAAAACCAAACTGAGATAGCCGCCAGGTTTTCGCTAGCGCGATTTGCATTTGACGGCAGAGTGACCAAGCTTTTGAAAGCGGCTCCGCACGAAAACGAAGCATTCTGTATGATGATGCTGTCTGCAATTCTGCCGGTGCTACGCTCTAGCAACTCTTACTGGTGTATGCAGACCCTAATCGACTCAAAGTAGCTTGACGCCTTATTCATTACTGAAGCAACCACCTGGACCAAATGCACTACATCTCATGTGACAAGCTATAGCCCAAGAATGCGAAGCAACCTGAGTGACCTGAACATTCATAACACCTCGGCGTTACCGCACAGGACCTTATGCACGGCATATCAGCGAGATCTTCCACATTATCTACATCTCAGGATTCCGTCATTGTAAATGCTGTTCCCGTTAGTTTTCTGGACCGCTTTTCTGACTACACACGATAGTGATGGCGATCGGTGCCGATTTCTGGACTTCCCTTGCTTGCTTTCGCCATGGACTGGCAAAATGATCCCTTTACACGACATTGATATTAGTTATAAGAGAATGTTTAAAATGTAACAAATAGTTGCCATAATCTAAGACAATACAATACAAAATGAAAAATAAAAACAATGCACCACAAGATGGTATAACAAATAATGCACCAAACAATCAAAAAAACAAAAAATGCACTACCCATGTACACGCCCGAGTATACACATACCTGGATCGCTATGTATAACTCTCGTTCATGTGTAACTGCGTATATCTTTTTCATTTCTTCTCTTCTTCGGCAAATTAGTACCACTTTTATTCTATTTTCGTCGACAATCATTTTGCGATACGGTCAAGATGCTGTGTATCTTCAAGCGTAACCATAAATGCTGCATATCATTTGATCGTAAGGCCACGTTCCTTCCATCGAGACACCCAGAACTTACGTGCTTTTACATTGTATTGTATGTTTTGTAACTTGCGGTTTCGTCATGTGGAGATAGGATGGAACACTAGAGTGTCAAAATGGTCGCGTACACAATAATCCGTAAAATGTTTCAGATACAATTATAAGACCGCATTAGGAAGGACAATCAGGGCAGCAAGTGCATACAATTTACTAGAAAGCTGACAAAGACGTTTTGGCGCCAAAGCATAGGTTGATGCAGATACTGCAAATACACAGAAGTGTATTGCTGGATAACTTAGCTTCCAATCCTGATAGAGTGGTAAGATGTTCACAATAGAAGCTTCTACTGATGGTAGTGATGATGAGTTCATCAAGATATCGCAATCTTGATGGTGTGATGGTCGATGCAAAACTATTTTTTGCGGTGATGACAGAATGCATACAATTGTGGGTACCTAGCTAAATTTAATCGGTCCGCATCTAGCACGTGTCACAATATGTTGATCACTTCATTTTAGGCTACATTATCATCATGTTCCGCATTAATATGTCGTGTGGCGCATCAATGTGTTTCGTAGAAATCTTTCTGAGTCAAATCTGAACCGAAATTTTATCCGGCGGAAATATCTCCGGTGAATGTAGGTCAATAATTAAGGCCGTTACTATACCCCGATTCGAGTTATAGACGCTTGGAGTTCTGACGATAAATACAGCGTGAAATTATTCAGTTCCATATTCAATATTTTTGTCGACTCTAGTCTTTCGAATCTTACTTCTTTGGATCAATTAAGATCATCAAACGATTTAACCAATCCAATCGGTCAATCGTCGCTTGTATCGTTACTGTATGTGTGACGTATGCAGTTGCATCATTCATATAAGTTGTTGAAGCGGCCGACTTTCTCTGTCGTTGAACAATTCTTCCTGACAACTCGACTGATATAAAAAGGTACGCTTGTCCCGCGCCAGTCATGTTGAATGATTTGCCTTTGATCCCATCAAGAATATATATGTATAGAATCAAACAAAATAGTCCAAAAACCCTTGTAAAATACAAAAAGTAAAAGTGACCAATGCACTGGTGTGATGTAGGTACTTTCCGAAGTTAATATTCCCAACTTTTGACTAAATTATAGGATTAGAAATTCCAACGGGAGAAGACGGAGCACATCGGAGTCAACGAACAAAGGCTCGGCGAGCCAAGAGTCGACGAGGGAAGACTCAATGAGACAATATTCGACGAGCCAAGACTCGAGGAGCCAAGACTTGACGTGGGAAGACCCGACGAGAAAGCAAGGTGGTGACCATTCCATCCCACTAGGAAGTAGTATATTACGACGAGGAGATGAAGGAGAACCACTCAAGCGTCCTTTGCAATCAGGAAGATAATAAGAGGTAATCGATACAGAACAGAATTTTCCAAGTCCAAGACACGTTTATGTGGTAAAGTCGCTAATCCATATTGGGATGTGGATCGGTGACCACCCAGTTGAGACGTTACTTACTGGCAGAAACGACACCAGTCAATCTAGCGATACAATGGAAGATGGAAGGTAATCCCCACAGAGATCAACGATCCGATCCAACTGTCTCCAGAATGATGGACATGAAACTATTTGAGACAAGGAGCAGAAAGGGATTATTCAATGGGCCAATATAGGGCGAGTCGCGGATATATATGATCGCCAAAGGAACATCTGGGACCAGGTGGTGCGATATAACTCTGTGACGAAGGTTTAACATCCTACAGATCGGTGACACTCTGTACAGGTCTCACAACGGGAGTACTAATTTAGATTTATTATAGCCCGATCAGGAAACGTGGATACTCGTGGAGATCCAGGGAGCTATTCTAAGACATGTGAAGGGTCTTGTGGACCAGATAAACCCTGAAGGGTAATATTGGAGCACGTTATATTAACAAAAGAACATCTACTGTTGAATTGTACCGTGTCGAGCCCAAACGATCTCGAATTGAGCGTCAGGTCGGTCATGTTCTCGGTTAATTACGGATATATCGTTGATGTAGCGATTGGATCGTGATAAACATGCTTGATGAAGGTCCATGAGTGATTCCCCGAAAGTTCAGATAGAAAAAGCCAGTGTAAGCTGGTTGAATTGACGTCGCAAAATGGATTTAGGCACATTTGGTATTTGGATACTATTTTAAACTTTTCGGTACCAACAATGGGTATTTGGTAGCGTGTTTGGTATTTGGTCCCTTTTTGGTGTCTAGGCACGATGTCAAGAATATTGGCGCTATCTTTGGAGTACAGGTCACGAAATTTCGACACGTGTTCAAGGAGGCGGTCAAGCTTAAAGGAGACGTATGTTTGGAGATTGACCTACAGTTTGGAATAGGCTTAAGGATAGGATGATTATTATTTAGTTAGATAATAAACAATTACCGTTTGTACAAATAAAGCACGTCGCAGACTTTTCTTCCGGGCAGGATATTTGACCTTCCGTCTATCAAGAGACTTTGCCGTGCTGTGTTTCGTGTACTCACCTTGGATTTTTTGGCCAAGGTGGGGTTAAAGTAACTCAACTCAACTCAAACTGGTAAGGTAGCAGCAAACAACGGTAAAGGAAAAGGAAAAGGATTTCGGTTACAAGATCGCGAGACGGCTCAAGTGGTTAGAAGATCTGGACAAGCAGTCCAAGACAAGACCGAGCAAGATCGAAGCGATCCACACGGCAGATCGGCCCGTTTCATTATGACGAAGCGCAAGGCCTACCTGTTACACTGCGCACTTCCGACAACATCGTCCGATCCCAAGACGAGATCGGACCGATCCCAAGGCAAGATCGACGCAAGACTACTACTTACTGAGTGGAGATTTCCGCACAGCAAAGACCCCGACCCCGAGAATAAATCGAGATCGATGTGATTCAAGATGGAGATCGCGACATCTTCACTTAGGGATCGCTGCGACTCAAGATCAAGATCGCAGAACCCCGTTCGTGGTGTGAAGATTTCCGCACCGGAAGCGAACGCTCAACCTTAAAACCTCCGCGATATCGACATCTCCCAAGGACATTACGAAGAGATCAAGCCAGCTCAACCGACGGGTACAAAAGGTGAGCACAAGGTTATACAGCAAGGCACGGATCGGAGTACCCCCTCCGTGAGTCGGCAAGTCTGGGCAAGTGGAAGATCGACATTCACTAAAGTAATTTTGTGAGATCGACTTCACCACAATGGTGCGCGTGCCCGGATCTTCTGAGGCCTCTGGATTTCACCGTGAGTCCACTGGCGAAAATGTCAAGATCAAGCAAGATCCTGGAATTGAAGTGTCAGTGTGGTAAAGCGAACTTTCTGGAAAGGGTAGACTCAAGGAGGGATGGACCGGAGGGACAGGGGCCTCGCGATCGGAAAGGGACTGGAGGCCAAGGGGCCACAGAGGAGAAGCGGCTGTTGGGTTCCAGCCGTTGAGAGCGGCACCAATGCGGATCGTTCTCAACCACTCGTCGGTCGACCGGGCCACTCGTCGGTAGGTACGGCCGACCAAGGCGGCCTCGGTCAACCAAGGCGGTCTCTGTCACCCATTGGCCGACCTGGTCACCCTTTGGTGGGCACGGCCGATCAAGGCGACCTCGGTCACCCAAGGGCCGACCCGGTCACCCTTCGGTGGATACGGCCGATCAAGGCGACCTCGGTCACCCTTCGGTGGGCACGGCCGATCAAGGCGACCTCGGTCACCCAAGGGCCGACCTGGTCACCCTTTGGTGGGTACGGCCGATCAAGGCGAACTCGGCCGCCCGAGGGCCGACCTGGTCACCCTTTGGTGGGTACGGCCGATCAAGGCGACCTCGGTCACCCAAGGGCCGACCTGGTCATCCATCGGCCGACCCGGACTATCAAGATCAAGCGTCCCTGACCACTCAGCATAGTGAGTCCAG